AACATGATAGCGCCATGTGAAGTGAGGTCATGATCGGAACATGTATATAATTCTTTCGGATAATTGAAATGACATTCATCGGATGATAGGGAATGTCCCACTGATGATAATACTACCGCCTTAATATAGCAAATATCTAATAATGATGGATATTATCAAAGCGTTAATTAATTTGAAAAATTTAATTTAGCATCAAAGGAATATCTGACCTCTTTACAATTCCTTATTGTTATGTGCTGATAAGTTTAGACGATGTTAATAACCATTCCAAATCTCAGAGGTTCCTTCTTCGTGCAATAATTTTTATCAGATTTGTCGTGGCATTAATTTCAGCTGCGGAAATTATCACAGATTATAAAGCTGATGAGTTATGGGAAGATGGTCGATTAATAGCCACAACAAAAGTAAACAAATGTATGTTCATTTCATACAAAGCTGACTCATTAGTATTGTTTAATGTTCAGTGATTAATCATCTGGAGAGCTTTTATTTTATAATTTTTCAAATTTCATTCGTTAGGGAGGAAATAAATTTGCATAATTATTTCTACACAATGATTGCAGCAATATTGATGAATTGTGGCACAGTGGAGGATGGACGATTGTTTATTTTGGAGGAGAAACCGTTTCTATTTGTGGAACACTCTCTGGACTTGATAAAGTGAAATCAGGAAAACTGTAAATGTGCTAGTGATAAAGACCGATGGTCACAGTTCATTTATTTAAACAACCAAAGGCGTAACTGCTGAGAATGCAAGATTGCGATAGCAAAATAATGTCAAATTATGAACGTGATTCATCAATTTGTTAGATGTTGTAAATATTTTTGCTGATTTTCTATAACAAAATATTACCAGATTTATCCTCAATACCATAAAAAACTTTCATGATATTAAAATTCGGATCCGATTGAAAGGAAACCACTACCTATCTCTAGATACAATCGTTCCTCGATCTATTGCTTATAGATCAAAGATCTTTTAACGTAGGAAAAAGAAATATACCGAAAGATTCGGAAATAAACGATATGTACATACTAGGAGATAATATAATACATATTTGGAAGTTCAAATCCATTACTAAATCTTCTATTCCACTTGATATTGGTGGTAATGTTTAATGTAATCCAGAAAGCTCTCCGTTATCCGAATAATCAAAGTAGTGTTGTGGGGTCAGTTTTAGTAGTCTGAAGTAAGGTCGAGAATGTGTTCTTTGCCTTGATAATAACATTAGTTAAATTCTATAAAAGAAAATTAATAAAAATTAGTAGGAAAATGTACCGATTGATATGCCAGTCAACATTCCCACTTCTCAATACCTATGTGAATCATTCTATGTTTTGAATATAAGAACTTGCTATTCTTATGCTATTCATATTTCAGCGTCATATCCCTTGGTATCTTTCGCTACTATAGTAGATTGAAAACATTGTAGAACTGTTTTCTACACGTTGATGTCTTCTTTTTGACATCTTCATACTGTGGTCAGCTGATAAACCTCGTCGGAAAAATTAAAAGAGGATATGCTTCAGGATTCCGCTGCGGAAGTATAAAAAGCGCTGTTGTTAAGTATTCAACCATTCAACGTTCCGCCATTTTTTTCTTCTTTCATTGTTTAAAAAATACTCATAGACACTGTGTCTATCAATAAAGATTTCCTGTCGATCGTTCTACTTCAGAACATATTCGCTTTTAATGACATATTGTTCAGGAATATATTTACTGTATTGTAATGAATTATAAGACATTCGCATGACATTCCATTCAATCATTATTATGCCATATGACGTGAGAGCTCGAATTCAATAATAAAATCTGATTTAAGTATTAATTTTTCGAAGCCTTTTGCGGTTGTTATTTTTCTAAACATCGCAAAATGGATTTGAGGTATTTTGGAAAAGCAATAAGTTCCAGAAAATACGCATGCCAAGTTTTGGTTGAAACGATTTCTGAGAATATTAACCGATCAGATGGCAATCCACCTGATGGTTAATAAGACGTAAATTCAAAGTTATAACAGGCTGGAACATAGTCGTTTCACTCACACTTCGAAAATTTATTAACCGTAAAAATAAGTAAAAGCCTGTTAATAAAAATGGAAGTTTTTCTAAAATTTTTCACTTCCTGCTCATTTCCCATTTCTATTGCTTTGGAAAATGTCATTAAGCGTTTTAACTAAAATTCTTTTTAAAAATGGATGCTATTTCTAATAAGTAAACTTGTCTTTAGAGAACATCGAAGTTT